CCTCTGCCATGTTGGTGGACGCCTACCGTAACGAGCGTCCCGAGATACGCATTGCCCACAAAACTGACGCAAATCTTCTTAAGAGCAGGCGCATGCGGATCCCAACGCGACCATCTACAACCACCTTCCACCATTTGCTCTTCGCTGACGACTGCGCGCTCAACACCACAACCAAAGAGGATAGGCAACGCAGCATGGATCTCCTCGCTATCGGGTGAGCCAACTTTGACCTGACTATCAACGCGGACAAAATGGTTGTCATGCACCAACCGTCACCCAACATGCAACACTGCACTCGTCCTCGAATCACTGTCGAAGACAGACAACATAGAATCGTGGGGTATTATGCTTATCTCGGAATAACACTTTCCAGCAGCACAAGAATCGACAACAAAGTGGCCCACCGGATCTCCAAAGCCAGCCAAGCCTTCGGCCGACTGCAGAACTCCGTGTGGAATGGTCCTCACCTCCAACCGAATATCAGGTTGAAGATGTATAAGGCCGTTGCTCTGACGACATTTCTCTACGGAGTTGAGAACTGGACCGTCTACTCCAGCCATGGCTATAAACGCACCTTAGCTAACTTCGCAAAATACTAAAGCTGAGATGGCAAAACAGGATTCCGATACAGAAGTCCTGGAACGGACCAGAATCCTCAGCGTTCACGCCCTGTTGAGGAAACTGCAGTTACTTTGGAGCGACCATCACATGAGGATGGAAGAAACACGTCTATCGAGACAACTCTTCTTCGGTGATGTCGCCACGGGTACTCGTCGACCAGAAGAACAAAAACTGTGCTACAGTGACACTGATGGACTCTCTTAAATAGATGCAGATCAACCCGGAGACCTAGGAGGACGTCACCCGGAACAGATCGGGATGGTAAAGAGAAGTGAAGGTCGGCGCCGTCATCTACCAAGCAAATAAGATCGCCGTCGCCAAAACCAAAGGGGAGGCTCGCAAGTCACAAGTGCCTTGTCTTCTCAATGTCAACCGTCAACCGCCTCCAACATGCCCTCGCTGCCAACGCGCATTGAGCGCGCGAATCGGTCTCATGGGACACCTTCGGACCCAATGCGCCAACAACCCGACATCTACTTCTGAGAAATATGAAGGGCTCACTGGATCAGTGGAAATGAGTAGTTGACGTTTCGGAGGGCTTGACCGGCTCCCCATTATCAAAGCGTTTTGCGCAAAAAAATCGGCCAGAATCTTGAACAAAAGGCCGAATTATTTGGCCTTGGGCCGATCGATTTTTTCCTTTCGCTGCCTTCGCCTACTAGTCGTTTTCTGTGAATGTAGGCGGCCTTCCGCGTTGGGTGTCGTCACCTTATTTGGGGTCAGTTACGCCTGTGCTCCCCTTTTGGATGAATTAGTCGACGGGCCGTGTTTGTTCGGTATTTTTAAACTCCGTGTGGCCATCTTGTCCTGGTTATGGCGTATGTAATGATGAAGGACTTTAAAGGCCACAGGAAGGTCTAGGTGCGTGTTGATTGAGTTGGCATCTGAGTACCAAGCCGGATCTCTTACATTTGTTAACCTTAACGTCTACTTCTCCCACTCTCGCCCATGCAGCTAGCCCCATGCTGACCGCCATCCCCGTCGCCGCCGATCGCATTGTCGTTGGCCCGCCGCCATTAACCCCGGACACCATCCGCCCTACCCCGTCCATCACAGCGAT